GATCCTCTTCCATGTAGGGTTTGTTGGGTTTAAGTAGTTTTTTTCTTTCTCTATTTTGTAATGGTTTGCATACAAAATTTGTATGCATTGTGTATCATTCATATACACTGTGTTTCACACATTCCTACATTCATACTGTGTTTCAAAAGATCACTCATGCACATTGTGTTTTATAAAATTAATCACCATTGATCTGTGACTACTGTTACCTCATTTTTAAATAAGGACAAATACTGCTTAAGACCATTGTTATAAAAATAGAAGGATAAGTAGTAAGATGTGGATAAAAGTCCAAAAGGGGAAAGAAAGGGACAAGGATGGGAAAGGCAGGAAGTAACTGGGATAACAGAGTTTAGTGATTTGGTGAGCAGAGGCAGATGTGGGAGGGGGTGAAGCAATTAGATAACATCCAGTGGGAGGTTGTAGGTTTGTTTTTGTTTGTTTTTGGTTCTGTTTTTACACCTCTTTTTCTTTGGTCCCTTTTCCACCTTCCCTGTTCCTTTCTACATCTCTGTCTTCCCTTCCTGTTTTTTTTTCCTTTTCACTGCAGATACCAGTATTTTCTTTCTTCATGTTTCTCAGAATTCCCCTCTGTAGGCAGCAGGACTCCAAAATTACTTTTTCTTTCCCTGTTTATTTGTCCCCATCAAAATATATTCTTCAGTATAACGTAGTGGAATATGGGTATAAAGGTGTTAGCATCTTATAGTTAATATTCTGAGGTTTAATTGCTGCTTCTTCCTCCATTTAAAGTTCTTGTTGTTGCTACTATTTTTGTCTATCAAGTCGAGTATGACTCACAGCGACCCTATGAACCCTGTCCTACTCTGTGCCATTTTCATAATCCCTGACCTCCTAGAGCCCATTACTGCAGGCACTGTGTCAGTCCACAGAGTTGAGGGTCTTCCTGTCCTTTGCCAAATTCTTGCTTCTCATTGTTCTAACTAGTAAATCATTTGTCTTTCATTTTACTGCAGTTAGGTAACTTGTGGGTTATAAGGAAGCTGATAGCTATGCCACCAGTGTATCAAATGCCAGAGGAGTCAGCCAAGTCAGATAGTTTTAGTAGAAATCCCAGATTAAGACAGACTAGGAATCAGGACTGGTCATCCACTTTTGAAATAGCGGACCTCTAAAAACCATTTAAGGTTGGTGAAAATAAATTTCTCTCTAGCAATAGTGGTCAAGGTCTGGCTAGAGGTGGAGTTGGCTTGCCTTTAATCTCATTCCTCTCATCCCTTTGTGTTTAAGGGGGAGGGGCTATCTTAAAAATATGAAGCTCTTGATGTCTTAACACTTTTTCTTAGGAAGTAACAACTTTTCAACTCTTGTGAGTTCACAATACCTTTATTTAATCATTGTTATTTAATGAGGAACTGAGTTCTGTTGCAAAAGGAAGTTAGCCCCTAATTTATGGCCATGCCAGGTCATTGTCATCTGAAACAGACCTCTTCTAACTGGAGAAGAAACAAGACTTGGTTTAACCTTTAAAAGATATTCAGAGGAATTTGCTGATTCTCTATCTCTTCTTTATAACTTAAGAATTGCTTACATTTAGCAGAGTAAACAATTTTGTATTGAATTCTTTCTAACCATTTACTAATCATTTTTAACTGGAGCTCTGGTGGCCTTAGTGGTAGGCATTTGTGCTGTCAGCTCACACAGTTCAAATCCACTAGTTCTCTAAGGGAGAAAGATGGACAGTCTCCTCCTGTGTGATTTAAAGCCTCTGTATACCCACTAGAAGGTCACTATGAGTCAGTTCCAACTTGATGGCACACAACTACAACAACAGTTACTATAAATGATTTAATTCTGCTTATTTCTACTTTATTCCATTCTTAGAGTTTTATTTGTTTGCAACCCTAAATATAACTTAATTTCAGCTTTGTAGTATATTTTTGTTATGGCCGTTTTGCTAGATAATTAGAGGAAAATACGTTAACACTTTTTTGGTTTTTTGTTTTTGTTTTGCTTTTTTTTTTTTTTTTTTTAGGCTTTAGTTTCAGTAAGCTTTGTTTTTTTCCTCATTGAAGTTAGCTTAGTTATTTGGAAACAGCAGGCAAGAAAGCCTTGTAATAGTTTGAAACAGGGACATGAGCTAGAAGGTTAACATATTCCTCTTCTTCCAAGTAAGTTAGAAGAATTTGATAGTAAATGAAGTGACAAAGTTATGTCTACGCTGTTAGGACAGCAAGTTTGTTCTCTCCCTTGTAGGCATTATGGTAGCAACTCTTTATCTTTGAAGAAGCTGTTTTTTTAAAAAGTGAGCTCTCTGATATTTTTTTCCCTAAGATTTTCAGAAGCCCCTGTCATCTGATTATGTAGGTAATTTGTTAGTTCTTGTGTAAACTATGTACCACAAACATTGAATAATGGTCTAGTGCTGACTTACAATTATTATCTGTCAAACTTTACAATCTAGGAGAGGGTAGAAGTCTTGTTAATCCATCCATCCAGTGTATAAAATATGTTTTTATACTGTTGTGGAAAATCCAGAGAGCAATTTATTGTAGTTCTGTGTGCATTTCATAGACAAACGTTCTGTATCCTTGGCTTTTCCCTGGGAATATAGGACATAGATCCTTTTTAAAATTTTATTTACTGTTTTATATATATATATAGTTGCTGTAATTAAGGATGCTTTGGGCAGAATATTAAATGATCCAGGAAGTATTAAAAGAAGATGGAAGGAATATACTGAGTCACTATATAGAAAGGAATTGGCAGATACAGAGGAATTTAAAGAAATAACATATGAGCAAGAGCCTATGGTGATGAAGGAAGAAGTTCAAGCTGCTTTGAAGGAAATAGCAAAAAATAAGGCCCCAGGAATAGATGGTATACTAATTGAAGTATTTCAGATAACAGATGTTGCCCTGGATGTGCTCACCAAGTTGTGCCAAGAAATCTGGAGAACAACCACTTGGCCAACTGACTGGAAGAGATCTATATTTGTTCCCATTCCAAAGAAAGGTGACCCAACTGAGTGTGGAAACTACAGAACAGTGTCATTGATTTCACGTGCAAGCAAGATTCTACTGAAGATTATCCAAAAACGATTAGAACAGCACATCAGCAGAGAACTGCTGGAAGTCCAGGCTGGGTTTAGAAGGGGTCGTGGTACTAGGGATATTGCTGCTGATGTTAGATGGATCTTGGCTGAAAGCAGAGAATACCAGAAGAATGTCTGTGTTTCATTGATTATGCAAAGGCATTTGACTGTGTGGATCATAACAAACTGTGGCTGACTCTGAGAAGAATGGGAATCCCCGAACATTTAATTGTGCTAATGCGAAACCTATACTTGGACCAAGAGGCAGTAGTCAGAACAGAGCAGGGTAACACTGCATGGTTCAAAACTGGGAAGGGTGTACCCCAGGGATGCATCCTGTCTCCATCCCTTTTCAACATGTATGCAGAGCAGATTATCCAAGAGGCTGGGCTCTATGAGGAGAATTGTGGCATCAGGATTGGTGGAAGATCTATTAACAGTCTGCGTTATGCAGATGGCACAACCCTGCTTGCCGAAACTGAGGAGGACCTCATGCACTTGCTGCGAAGGGTCAAGGACTGCAGCCTTCAGTATGGACAGAGGCTCAATGTCAAGAAGACAAAGATTCTCACCACTGGACCAATTGGCAGCGTCAGGATGGATGACGAAGAGATTGAGATTGTTTACAGCTTCAGTTTGCTCAGCTCCACAGTCAACACTCTTGGCACCAGCAGTCAGGAAATCAGAAAGCATATCGCGATGGGAAAGTCTGCTGTTAGGGACCTCTCTAAAGTACTCAGGAACAACGATGTCTCTCTGGAGACTAAGGTCTGCCTGATACAGGCCATGGTATTTACAATCGCTTGTTATGCATCAGAGAGTTGGGCAATGACTAGAGAGGACAGAAGGAGAGTTGATGCCTTTGAGCTGTGGTGCTGGAGAAGAGTACTGAATGTATCCTGGACTGCCAGGAAAACAAACAGATTCATCTTGGAGAGGATTAAACCAAGCTACTCCTTGGAGGCAAGGATTCTGGGGCTTCGTCTGACATACTTTGGACATGTTGCCAGGAGGGACGGGTCCTTGGAGAGGGACATCATGCTTGGGAGGGTGGAGGGACAGCGCAGGAGGGGAAGACCCTCTATGAGATGGATTGATTCGGTGACTGGGGTAATCGGGATGGGTGTGTCAGAGGCAGTGCGGTTGGCGCAGAAAGGCTAAGTAGGCTGAACATTAGAAAATTAGAGTTGGAAATTAGAAGCATTAAGATTGTAAATTAATATAAAATCAGCTGTACATGTAATTAATATTTAACCAGCATCATATACTATAGTATAATTTTCTTAATTAAATGTCACATTTCTTTCCCCCCCCCTTTAATGTCACATTTCTTAATAGTCTGGCTATAGAGTTGGGAAACTAGAGGCTCTTCAAAGTGGAAGAGATCTGAAGGTTACTTTTTACTTAGTATAGAAATTATGTTTGTAGAGGGTTGGTGGCTCTCTTAAGTTAGTCATAGATATTATTCTAACCCCCAATGATTCAGAGGGAAATTGCTGATAAAATACATTGATAATACTTTGCCATGATAGAGAAGAAAAAGGTCATCAAAATCTTCAAAGACCATAATTTTTTAACATGTGACTTTCTTTTCTCATGGAATTGGGAGTCGAGATCTCATCAGTTCTTTCTTGGATTACCTATTATGCTATTTTGAGTTGTGTGTATTTTAAATTAAAAAAAGAAACTGAGACATGTATTAGCTTAAGATACTTGATATACCCAGTATCAAAACAAATGAATGTTAGAATCTATCATTTCTTATTCTCAATTTTGTAGAATTAATTTCAGGCTTTTTCTCTCTCTTTTTCTCTATGCTTTGTCCTTGAAATAAAAAAGGAATAGATGGCATAAACTAAATAGTAGATATTGATCCTAGAACATCTTTCAGAATTGCTGCTACTGTTGCTCATTCATGTACTTTGATATTTCTTTTATTCTTCAGGCTTACTGTGGATTCGTGCGACCTGGAATTTCCTCAGAGAATCTTTCTGCAGTGGCTACAGGAAACTGGGGCTGTGGTGCCTTTGGAGGTGATTCTAGGTTAAAAGGTCAGTGACTTATTGAAAAAGAGAATGACTTTTTTTATTCAATAAAAAAGAATCAGCCCTTCAAACCAAAAATTTAATATTCTATCATGAGATCCCTCAAAGAAAAAGAATATTTGACAGTGCGCATGGGAGTCTAGATGGGGAAGAAGACACTGGCCTAAGCTAGGAAGCATTTAAATTGTTTTGTTTTTTTTTTTATTTGCTAATTGCTTTATAACCACAACAAACTGGTACAGAGGAAGGTCCTGTACAAAACACAACAAAGGTTCAAAGATGGAGGCGTTCTCTTAGCAAGGCTGAAGATTTCAGTCTCTGGTATTTGGAATTTAGGCTGCAGTCCTT